AACCAGGGAGAAAGAGGATAACCAGGGAGAAAGAGGATAACCAGGGAAAGTGTAGGGCCCAATCTGTGCGTGGAACTGGAGGACATTAGTAGTATTAAATGAGTATTTTACAACTGTTTCGACTTGGGAGAAGGAAAATGTAGGGACAGAATTTGGGAAAATGGACAGTCAGATTCTTGAGCAGATTGATATTTCAAGTGAAGAAATATTGGAGTTTTGGCAGGTCTAAAAGTGGACAAATCTCCGACTCAAATTCCTCTCTGGCCACAGGGGACCTGCCAGAGGACCAAAGGAGAGCTAATGTGGTTCCACTTTGCAGGAAGGGTACTCAGGGTAGGCTGTGGAATTACAGGTCAATCAGTCTCAGTTCTGTGGTAGGGAAACTACTGGAGAAAATTCAGAAGGAAAAAATTAATCTCCAGAGAGACAAGACTTGATCAGGGACAGTCAACATGGCTTTGTCAGAGGGATGTCATGCCTGACCAATCTGGTGGAAATTTTGAGGAGATGACCTAGTGTTTGGGTGAGGGTAGTGCAGTTGATGTAGTTTATATGGATTTCAGCTAAGCCTTTGATATGACCCCACATGGGAAACTAATAAAGATACAATTACATGTGTTCCAGGGTAATGCTGCAAGTTGGATCCAAAATTTGCTTTGTGTGGGAAACAGAGGGTGGTGGTAGAAGGCTGTTTGTGTCACTGCAGCCCGATGTGCAGTAGCATACCACAAGGAGCAGTATTGTTTATATGTATATATCATGAACAATGTCGATCAGAGTTGGGGCGCTGATAGGTAAGTTGGTGTATGACACAAAGACTGGCCGGGTGGTTGACAGTGAAGAATGTCTTAGGTTACAGGAGGATATAAATGGATTGGTCAGATGGGCAGATCAATGGCAGATGGATTTTAACTCTGGTAAATGTAAAAAGATGCACTTTGAACAAAGAAACAAGACACAGGAGTACTCAATGAATGGCAGGACACTTGGAAGCTGAGAGGAACAGGGATCTTGGGGCGTTTGTCCATAAATCCCTCAAAGTGGCATGGTAAGTTAATAGAGTAGTTAGCGAAGCACATGGGACAAATACCTTCATTAGATGAGGTACAGATTCTAAGAGCAAGGAGGTCATGTTGGAGCTGTACAGGATTTTTGTCAGGGAACAGGTGGAGTACTGTATGCAGTTCTGGTTACCACACTTTCGGAAGGATGTGTTAATGCTCAAGGGGGTGCAAAGGAGATTGACTCTGATGTTGCCTAGAATGGAGCACTTTAGCAATGGAGACAGGCTGGATAAGCTCAGGCTGGTTTCTTTCGAGCAGACAAGGTTGAAGGGGGAACCTGACAGAGGTGAAAAAAGATAGGGGCATGGACAGGATGGATAGAAAGCAACTGTGCCTCTTAGTCAGAGATTCAAACAAGGGGGCATAATTTTAAAAAGGTGAGACTAGAGATTTGAGGAAAGAATTTTCAGCCCGAGGGGTCAGGAATGCACTGCTTGGAGAGTAGTTGAGGCAGATAACATCAAGCCTGATAAAGTACTTGGATATGCACTTGAAATTTCATAACATTGAAGGCCATGGAAGGTGAGAGTACTGTAGATTTAGTGTAGCTTTGGCAGTACAGACCTGATGGGCTGAAGGGCCACCTCTGTACAGTAC